TTGAAATCTGGCACTAGACAAGGATGCCCTCTTTCACCACTCCTATTCAATATAGTACTGGAAGTTCTAGCCACAGCAATCAGGCAAGAAAAAGAAATAAAGGGTATTCAAATAGGAAAGGTGGAAGCCAAATTGTCTCTATTTGCAGACTACATGATAGTATACCTAGAAGACCCCATTGCCTCAGCCCAAAAACTCCTGAAACTGATAAGCAACTTCAGCAAAGTCTCAGGATATAAAATCAATGTGCAAAAATCACAAGCCTTCCTCTACACCAATAACAGACTTAAAGAGAGCCAAATCAAGAACGAACTGCCATTCACAATTGCTACAAAAAGAATAAAATACCGTGGAATACAACTCACAAGGAACGTAAGGGACCTCTTCAGGGAAAACTACAAACCACTGCTCAATGAAATCAGAGAGGACACAAACAGATGGAGAAACATTCCATGTTCATGGTTAGGAAGAATTAATATCGTGAAAATGGCTATACTGCCCAAAGTAATTTACAGAATCAATGCTACACCCATCAAGCTACCATTGACTTTCTTCACAGAACTGGAAAAAACCACCATGAACTTCATATGGAACCAAAAGAGAGCCCGCATAGCCAAGTCAATTCTAAGCAAAAAGAACACAGTGGGGGGCATTACACTACCGGATTTCAAACTATACTACAAGGCTACAGTAATCAAAACAGCATGGTACTGGTACCAAAACAGAGATATAGATCAATGGAACAGAACAGAGGCATCAGAGGCAACACAACATAGCTACAACCATACAATCTTTGATAAACCTGACAAAAACAAGCAATGGGGAAAGGATTCCCTGTTCAACAAATGGTGCTGGGAAAACTGGCTAGCCATGTGTAGAAAGCAGAAACTGGACCCCTTCCTGACACCTTACACCAAAATTAACTCCAGATGGATTAAAGACTTAAACATAAGACCTGGCACCATAAAAACCCTAGAAGGAAATCTAGGCAAAACCATCCAGGACATAGGAGTAGGCAAGGACTTCATGAACAAAACACCAAAAGCATTGGCAACAAAAGCCAAAATAGACAAATGGGACCTAATGAAACTCCACAGCTTCTTCACAGCAAAAGAAACAGTCAATAGAGTGAATCAGCAACCAACAGAATGGGAAAAAATGTTTGCAGTTTACCCATCTGACAAAGGGCTGATATCCAGAATTTACAAAGAACTCAAACAGATTTACAGGAAAAAAACAAACAAGCCCATTCAAAAGTGGGCAAAGGATATGAACAGACACTTTACGAAAGAAGACATATATGAGGCCAACAATCATATGAAAAAATGCTCATCGTCACTGGTCATCAGAGAGATGCAAATCAAAACCACATTGAGATACCATCTCACGCCAGTTAGAATGGCGATCATTTAAAAATCTGGAGACAACAGATGCTGGAGAGGATGTGGAGAAAAAGGAACACTTTTACACTGTTGGTGGGAGTGTAAATTAGTCCAACCATTGTGGAAGACGGTGTGGCAATTCCTCAAGGCCTTAGAAATAGAAATCCCATTTGACCCAGCAATCCCATTACTGGGTATATATCCAAAGGAATATAAATCATTCTACTACAAGGACACATGCACACTAATGTTCATTGCAGCACTGTTTACAATAGCAAAGACCTGGAATCAACCCAAATGCCCATCGATGATAGACTGGATTGGGAAAATGTGGCACATATACACCATGGAATATTATGCAGCAATCAGAAATGATGAGTTCGTGTCGTTTGTAGGAACGTGGATGAATCTGGAGAACATCATTCTCAGCAAACTCACACAAGAACAGAAAATGAAACACCGCATATTCTCACTCATAGGCGGGTGATGAAAAATGGGAACACATGGACACAGAGAGGGGAGTACTAAACACTGGGGTTTATGGAGGGAAAAGGAGAGGGCCAGTGGGAGGGGGAGGTAGGGAGGGATTGCCTGGGGAGAAATGCCAAATGTGGGTGAAGGGGAGAAAGCAAACAAAGCACACTGCTATGTGTGTACCTATGCAACTGTATTGCATGCTCTGCACATTTACCCCAAAACCTAAAATGCAATTAAAAAAAAAAAAGATTGTTTTTAAAAGGACAAAGATAAAAGGTTTCTTTATTTCCTTTCTTTGTCCATGAAGTTGCTGTTTGTTTATTTATTTATTGGCCTGTTTGATGTATGTGTGAAACAATTTTATTCAACGATAAACTGGAATTTTATCTTGCTAAGTAGTTCTAACCAAAACAATTAAAATTAAAATGGTTAAGACAGTAAATTTAATGTTATGTGCTTTTCACCACAATAAACAAACAAACAAGAAAACATATATTTACTCTGCAGGGGAGGGGCCACTTTTCAGCTGCCACATCCCCATTTCTACCTCATTAGGTAAAAGTGCATCTGATTACTTTATGTTCTTGTATGCTACATTCGTCCTTGTCAGATACATGCTTCTCCACTAAAGATGTGTTCCCTCACTAAAAGGGATTTTTGGATGAACACCAGTTGTTTTATGTAATCTAATGTATCAATTTTTTTTCTTCATGACGAATGCTTTTTATGGCTTTTTTTTAAAAATCCAAACATTCTCTGTCCCAAAGTTGGAAAAAGATTCTCTTTTATTTTCACTGAAGCTTTATAATTCTGCCATTTATATTTAAGTCTATAATTCATCTGGGTTAGTTTTAATTTTATTTATATATTTATTTATGGAGACAGGATCTCCTTTTGTCACCCAGGCTGGAGTGCAGTGATGTGATTTTGGTTCACTGCAGCCTCAACCTCCCAAACTCAAGTAATTCTCCCACCTCAGTCTCCCAAGTAGCTGAGACTACAGATGCATGCCAACATGCCCAGCTAATCGTGTGTGTGTGTGTGTGTGTGTGTGTGTGTGTGTATGATCAGATCTGCATTTTATTTTTCCCTATTTTATAGTTTTTTTTAAATTTCCAACTTTTATTTTAAATTCAGGGGTACACATGCAGGATATGCAAGTTTGTTACGTGGGTAAACATGTAACAAACATGTGCCATGGTGGTTTGCTGCACAGATAATCCCATCACCTAAGTATTAAGCCCTACACCCTCTGACAAGCCCCAGTATGTGTTGTTCCACCCAATGTGTCTATGTGTTCTCATCATTCAGTTCCTACTTATAAGTGAGAACATGCAGTGCTTGGTTTTCTGTTCCTGCATTAGTTTGCTGAGAATAATGGCTTCCAGATCCATCCATGTCCATGCAAAGAACATGATCTCATTCATTTTTATGGCAGCATAGTATTCCATGATGTATATGTACCACAGTTTCTTTATTCAGCCTATCACTGGTGGGCATTTAGGTTGATTCCATGTCTTTGCTATTGTGAATAGTGCTGCAATGAACATATGTGTGCAAGTATCTCTGTAACAAAATAATGTATATATTCCTTTGGGCATATGCCAATAATGGGATTGCTGGGCCAAGTGGTATTTCTGCCTTTAGTTCTTTGAGGAATCACCACACTGTCTTCCACAATGGTTGAACTAATTTATAGTCCCACCAACAGTGAAGAAGTATTCCTTTTTCTCTACAACCTCACCAGCATCTGTTGTTTTTTGACTTTTAAAATTAGATCTCATTTGCCAATTTTCACTTTTCTTGCAAATGCTTTTGGCGTCTTTGTCATAAAATCTTTGCTGGTTACTATGTCCTGAATGATATTGCCTAGATTTACTTCCAGGGCTTTTAAAGTTTTGGGTTTTACATTTAAGTCTTATTTCATCTTGAGTTGATTTTTATATATGGTGTAAGGAAGAGGTCCAGTTTCAATTTTATGCATAGGGCTAGCCAGTTCTCCCAGCACCATTTTTTAAATAGGGAATCCTTTCCCCATTGCTTTTGTTGACTTTGTTGAAGATCAAATGGTTGTAGATGTGCAGTCTTATTTCTGGGCTCTCTGTTCTATTCCATTGATTTATGTGTCTGTTCTTGTACCAGTATCATGCTGTTTTGGTTACTGTAGGCTTGTAGTATAGTTTGAAGTTGGGTAGCATAATGCCTCCAGCTTTGTTCTCTTGTTTAGGAATTGTCTTGTCTATCCAGGCTCTTTATTGGCTCCATATGAATTCTAAAATAGTTCTTTCTAATTCTACAAAAAAAAATGTCAAAGGTAGTTTAATGGGAACAGAATTAAAACTACAAATTGCTTTGGGTGGTATTGCTGTTGTGATATTGATTCTTTCTGTCCATGAGTATGGAATTTTTTCCATTTGTTTGTGTCATCTCTGATTTCTCTGAGCAGTGGTTTTTACTTCTCCTTGAAGACATCCTTTAACTTCCCTTGTTAGTTGTATTCCTAGGTATTTTATTGCTTTTGTGGCAATTGTGAATGGGAGTTCATTTGTGATATGGCTGTCAGTTTACCTGTTGTTGGATGTATAGAAATGCTAGCTATTTTTGCACATTGATCTTCTATCCTGAGACTTCATTGAAATTGCTTATCTGCTTAAGAAGTGTTTGGGCTGAGACAATGGGTTTTTCTAGATGTAGGATCATGTCAACTACAAACAAAAATAGTTTGACTTCCTCTCTTCCTATTTGAACACCTTTAATTTCATTCTCTTGCCTAATTGTTCCAGTCAGAACTTCCAATACTATGTTGAATAGGAGTAGTGAGAGATGGCATCCTTATCTTGTGCCAGTTTTCAAGGAAAATGCTACCAGGTTTTGTCCATTCACTATGATATTGGCTTTGGGTTTGTCACATATGGCTCTTATTATTTTGAGGTATGGTCCTTTAATACTGTATATATTGAGAGTTTTTAGCAAAAAGGAATGTTAAATTTTATCAAAGGCCTTTTCTGGAACTATTTAGGAAATTACATGGTTTTTGTCTTTGGTTCTGTTTGTGTGATGAATCGTATTTATTTATTTGTGTATGTTGAACCAGCATTGCATCCAAAGAATGAAGAATTTAATTGTGGCAAATAAAAACACTTTTCTCATAAGGACGTATATGTCTTTGCCTTTACTTGTGTCATTTATACATTTACTCATTTTTTAAGATCCCACTCAAATATTACCTCCTCCAAGAAAACTATACCAATATCCCAGACTACTATTTATTTCTACCTTGTTCAGAATCCCTCCTACCCCTCAAGTCCTTCGTTTAGTATTTAATCACTGCCTCAAGAGAGTCCTAGAGGTTTCGGATTGTTGAAAGAAAGGGAAGATGTACCTTACTGTGTACCCCTGACCTTGCCTGTAGTTGAGAGGAAGCTACTAGAACCTCTGAGCCAGCTCGGATCATGCCACCATCTCCATGGGAACATTAAATTTCCTCCCACAGGTTTGCATGATGGAACATCCAGGAGCTCTTTGATGATAGGAGGTGGGTTTCTCCAATCTCTTCTCTGGACTGAATCATTCCCTGGAAATGGGGCCATGAATTATTGGGGTCTTAGAGCTTGTGAAGTAAAGGATTAACCCAAAGAAAGTTTTGGCTCTGGAAGGTAACATTTAAACCCTTGGAATGCCACAAATTTTAAGAATGCCTTTATATAACTAGAACAGAGAGATAGTCTGTACTCACCATAAGATTTATGGTAAGGATCTTGGACAACACAACATCAGCTTTGCCTCTGGCTGGGCCAGAGACCAAAGTCAGCCATGTGGGTGACTAGCCATATATATGCGACTGATTCCTCAATAAATACTCTGGACACTGAGACTCAAGTGAACTTCCCTAGTTGGCAATACCCTGGGTACATTTTCACATATCATTGCTGGGAGAGATAAGTGCTGTCTGCATGACTTCACTGGAGTAAACAAATGGGAAGCTGTATTCCTAGTCTCTCCTAGACTTCTGTACCTTTACTTACTGTTGGTTTTTAAATGCATTCTTTTGCTCTAATAAACTGTAACCATGGGTAAATTGGCTTTCTGAGTGCTGCGAGTTCATCTAGTGAAACTCTGAACCTGAGGATGGTGTGAGGTACCTTCCAAACTTCCAAGGATTCTACTCAATACATTTCTTTTCTCAATCTAAGGGCACCATGGGTCAAACAGATATAATCTTAAAATGTTTTTCAAAACAAGGTAGCAAACTGCCAACCACATTGGAAATCGGGTAGCTGGATGGCCCCTGAAGATCGATGATGGTACTGATGACCAGGCCAGCAACAACTGGTGGAAGTGAGAGTGGACGTGGCAGAAAGTAAAGAGCACCATGGCAGTAAAGCTGTTGGTATCTGGTGATCTACCAGCAAAGAGCCATGTCTTGTGGAGCGTGTGCAGGAGGTGAACAAGCAGTTGGAACTGGAGATCCCAGATGGCGATCACGTGGAATGCTTAGTGGTGGTATTGGTGTTGGTGAAGCATTTGGGCTCTTGGAAAGGAAATAAATCGTGTTGATATCCTTGTAATTGACTGTATCGTTTTGGTAAGAAGAATAGGCTATATCCATGAAAGATAATATAAAAGAAGCTTCCTTGCCCCTGTATCTGAAAACACTACTTCATAAGTAGATGATCTGATTGAAATGTAGGATAAGGAGTAGCAGGAAGAATAGGCGGCTGAAAAAGCCTCTAGCCATGCTGCTAGAAGCTCAGAGTGAAGTGGAGGACGTAGAGAAAGGGATTAAGGTTTCTAACCAGGAGCTGTAGCGGGTAGAGATAGTGAACTTCTAAGCCAAAGGAGCTGAGCACCCAGAAGAAATGTGAAGAGCAGACACAGCTTCTGGCAGCCTGGGGACGGCCAGCAGGCCACTGTGGGATAGGTGCATTCTTCCAGGCACCACTGGAAGAATGACCTCTCCCCTTGCAACAGCAGTTTAGCGATGCATTCTGGCACTGAGCTGGTGTGGGTATCAGCAAGTGGCAGCTCCAAGCAGGTACTACTGTCAGCCAAGAGAAGGCAGGGCTAGTCACAACTGTTTTGTTTTTCAACGAGGCAGATCACAGAGGAGAGTCTGGGGGTCCAGCCCACTTATGGCCTCCCTAGAAAGAAGTTCCTTCTGGGAATAATGCCCACTAAGCTGTTTATTCCAGTTCAGCTCCTGCATAAAGAGTCAAAACTCAGCAGTATCATGAACCCATAGCCTGCACAGGGCTTGCTTTGTGGCCTTGATGTCTATCTCTTTCTAGGCGAACTGCCATTCATGTCGCTGAGAACTATGGAGAGGATGGGGTGAGCTTCATGTCCACAGCTGCAGAGCACAAAACCCAGAATGGCAGAGACTTCTTCCTGCAAAGTCCAGAAAAATCTAAGCCCTGTTGCATAATAAAGCTCCTCTCAAGCAGCTACCTTGTACATAATGCCGATGATTTTACAAACGGGGAAACTGGGGCCCCAAAAGCTCAAATTGCTTCATCGTTAGTGATACAGCTGGTCACCTCTAGGCTGTGATGCAATATTTTTTAACTCCACATGGATGCTTCTGACAGCATCAAGACCCCTGTGAGTCTGGAAGAAAGAAGGAAGGTGCTTTGAGGACAGGAAGGGCAGCTCTGACATTGGTAAGTCAAGAGTCTGAGCTGACATTGCAATCACACAACACACAGCCTTTTGAACCAGTGAAAGAATCAAGCAAATGCACCGTTTATTACCCCACAGGATAACAGGTAGCTTTAACAAGACCAAGCCAAGCAAAAGTGGCTGCAATATGACATATCTTCTTTTGTCCCTATTCTGATAAGATACTGGGTTAAACCTGCCCTCTCAGACTGGGCACAATTGGGCAAGGGAACAAACCTCCATAACATTCAGCACTTGTTCTAGACAAAAGTTACCCAAACGTGCTAATGTTCAGGGAACAATTAGGAGTGTTCTTGTACATTATCTGCTACCTCCTTACTGCGCCAGAGGACCTTTTAACCTTCATCCTGTTTCGCTAGGTGTGCCACTCCCAAATCGTTCATGCAGAAAATGAGACTAAGAGACCTTAGCTTCTGTCTGTCGTGGGTTTTTCTGCTTTTGGTTCATGGGTCTGTGTGTACTCTGCCTTGGCTCAGGTTCATTTGTTCAAGCCTATGAAGGTTACAAACTCACCTGGGTTTCTTTCCTGCCTTACAGCTCACCAACAACTAGGGGATGCTGCCACCTGGTGGTAGGAATCGCCTTGCATGAGAACCTACACCGATGAGCAAATTGCACTAAAAAGTTAAAACTTTGCAAGAACTTGCCTTGCACAGAGACTTGAAAAGGAATCAATTTCCAGATGCCTTGACTGCCATTCTTAAAACCTGCCTGAGAACAGATTGGAATGATAAGATAGAGTCTCCTTTCCTATATTCCTTTTTGGACAAAAAAGAAAGGTACATCCTTATCCATCCTGAATCTTACTACTGTGCATTGCCCTGATTTGTAAAACAAACAAACAAAAAACTGCAGTATGCCAAAAGGACAATTTAAAATACTGTCCTCAAGGACAACTCCATTAATGATTAATCAAAGCACCGTAGGCTTGTCTAGCATGTCTCCGTCTGCAGGTCTGGGAGATATTTCTGTGAGGAGAAGTGAGACATTGGAACCCTGTGCTAGGGTGTTCTGAGTTTGGATATAATGCAGAGAAAAGCAGTGAAGGGTTTCACCTCTTCCATCCCCCAAATATTGCCAGGTAGAGCAGCACTCTTGAGGGAGAGTCCTCTGAAAACATAAAAATGAGCCCCAGAAAATGTACCCACCCTCAATATTTAAGTGATTCCTTTAAGACATATTTATACCAAGACTTGCACAGCTTAGTGATGCTGATACTTTTAAGCATGACTAGAATGTTTTTTGAGCTACCAGAATTCTCCAGTGTACACTGACTCGTTCTCACAGACAAAAACCTTTTGTAATCTTTCAGATTTGGTGTGTTTCATTCAGTAATGTAGTTAAAACCTGTTTTAACACATCTATGAAATGTTTATTCCAGTTACTTTGCCATTACCTTATTTCAGCTTATAAAATGTTTAATATTTTTCTATCTCTTTTTAACAAAAAACAAAATTATATGCTAGCTGTCAGACTGATTCATTTATATTTAATTAAATACAGAAGGAAATTTTGACCAGTTTTTCTAATGTGATTAATAATTTCTGATTTTATACATGATTCTTATTTATTTCAAAAAGCTAGTCACCACTGTTTAATATGCAAATACATACACATTTTTCAAATATATGTCTCATATACCTAGCTTCTTAGGTAACAATATTTTAGCCACATCTTACATTGCATTAATATTAGAGTAATTATTAGATACACATGGCTTCATTATGGATTGCTTTTAGTAATATATCTTATGAGATGTGTTTTTAAGTTATTCCTTAGCTGTTCTTTTTGAAATACTATTTTTGAAGCACAAATTGAAAAATAAAGTCAATCCTTTCTGATTTTATTAAAGAAAGAAAGTAAATCTGATATGACTGCATAGTTTGCTAGCAAGGAACTGGATTTGCTCATTAGGTTATATGGAAGATATTTTCCATCAACTGAATAAGCTAAATTTGCAATTCTAAGATTTCAGTCATGATAGAAATTATTTATAAAGCAGGCAAAACAATTATGACATTTGATAAAATAATATTGGGTTGACAAAGGTATACTGAAAGTAGAATTTCCATTTTCCCCACTCATTGATTAAATATGGTGTTTGTTAGTAAAGGGGCAACAGAATAATTAATAGTCACTTAATACATATTGGCAAAGATTTTTTTGGTTATATGTTCCAGAAATATAAATAAGAAATCAGTTTTATGACTGGATAACACCATTTGAAAGTAAAGTGTTTTCCAACCATTTGATTTCAACAATATTGCAGAAAGACCTCATTAGGTCATCAGCTGATAATGTTAATGATGTCACTTTTGACATATTACTCAGAAGTTCCAAAAATTGAGTCACAATTCTAAAACATAATTTCTACTCCCACCTCCATATTTCCAAGAACAAGGTTTCTCAGTATTTGTATCTATAAAAATGAAAAAAATAGAATAGATGCTAAATCATGTCACATTTTGGCAATAAGTAAAATTAATCAAAGGAAAATGATATGTTTTTATAAGCATCCATCTCATTAAAAGAATGTGTTTGCAACCTTCTCTTCCATTGTGGTTAGCTGCCGACCCTGTCGTGAGCTCCCATGCCTCACCCTATAGTAGAAGGTCCTCCCTGGAAAGCAGCTGCTCAGCCAAGGACCTCACGCACGTCATACGGTCATGTGACTACTTCTCACCCATAGAAAGTTAGCAGTCACAGTGGGTGGAACTTCCAGGCCAAGGATCTTTAGGAGGTCTTCCCCGTACAGTCCTCTTCCTTTTCCAGCTGGATTCTGCTAAGATGATGAGGCCCTCAAGATTGGAGAAGCCATAAATCAAAAGAAGCTTGAGTTTCTGAATCATTTGACAGGGAGCCTCATGCCACCTAGAACATCCACCTGAGACTGGAAAATGGGCCAGAGGTAAACTTCCATTGTGTTAGGCCAGTGGAATTGGGGATATGTTTCAACAGCCATCTCTACCTTAAATAACACATGCTCAATAATGACTTATCAATATTTATAATACATCTCTGTTGCTTTAATTATATGCTAATAATATATTAATAACTCAAGCCAGAAGAATTTTTAACACTTAGAGTCCTATGTTCATATAAAATTGTTTGAAAGTTTAATTTCAACTTACATTTGTAATTTTGACATAGAGAATTTGATGGCATGATCAATAAATATTAAAGTGTATTGTAGGATAAGCTAAAATTATGTATTGGGAGGGGTGTGGCAAAATAAATTCAAGCAAATAAAAGGATGATGTAAAACGTTTTAACATTATAGAACAGTTTGTTCATATACAATTTTTAAAGATGATAGTTTGCCTTCAGTTGCTACCAGAGCCCTTCAATACTTCTTTTAAAATGTTTAAGACTAAAATCTATGCACAAGGGTAGATTTTTTTTTTTTTTTTTGAGACAGAGTTTCGCTCTTGTTACCCAGGCTGTAGTGCAATGGGGCAATCTTGGCTCACCGCAACCTCCGCCTCCTGGGTTCAGGCAATTCTCCAGCCTCAGCCTCCCAAGTAGCTGGGATTACAGGTGCGTGCCACCTTGCCCAGCTAATTTTCATATTTTTAGTAGGGACGGGGTTTCACCATGTTGACCAGGTTGGTCTCGATCTCTTGACCCCGTGATCCACCTGCCTCAGCCTCCCAAAGTGCTGGAATTATAGGCATGAGCCACCACGCCTGGCCAACTTTTTTTTTTTTTTGAGATGGAGTTTTGCTCTTGTTGCCCAGGCTGGAGTGCAGTGGCACAATCTTGGCTCACTACAACCTCTGCCTCCCTGACTCAAGCGATTCTCCTGCTTCAGCCTCATGAGTAGCTGGGATTACAGGCATGCACCACCATGCC